TTGGATCTGATCAGTGTTTGCAGATCATCCATCCAGTTCTCCATAGGGAATGGGTTGGGGAGGCTACAGAGGTGGACAGTAGGAATGCATGACCTTTAATGTAAGGATGCTTCCCACTTGAGGAGCAACAAGTATAAACTAAGGCCTGCCTTCTCAGCAGTATTCTTCAGGGTGGGGTCCAAGTACATCCCTGATGGTAAGGTCCTGGGCCCAGCTCAGCCCTGCTGAGTCAGAACAGCCCTGTTTCCTGATGTCCTTTTTCTCCTGAATTGAGAACTTGCTCTGACACCTTGCTACTCAGGTGTGGTCCTATGTCTTAATATCCCCATTAAGTGAGTCAGAAATACACAATCTCAGACCCCACCCAGACCTCCATTACAATATGCTTTACAGAAAAGTCCCCATGTAGCTCATGTGCACATTAGAATTGGAAAAGGCCAGTGGCACACACTCTGGTCAGGGTGACTCCCTCCTTCAACACAAGATGCATGCATAGTTCCAATGATCTGTGGACAGAAAGTTTGGCTTAGCTCAGAAGTTAGAGATTTCCTCAGGAGGGGGCAGACACAACATGAGCTAGACATTGAATAGTTTGCAGTATATAAACAATTAACCAGTGGAGATGCATTTGGTGGCAGAGTGCTATGTGAAAATTGAAAATTAGCCTGACAGTGATGGGCAGGATATTGCAATTACAAGAAACAGGAAGACCTTCAGTAACAGGTAAGTTGACAGAGAGCTATGTGTGGTGGTTACGTTCAGTACATGGTGCTTGTTTTGTATAGTCATTGTGCTCTACGTTCTCTATAATAAATATGTTATTTTTGCAACCATCAAGAAAAAAGGAAATACTTTGTGTGGGCTCAGTGGTACATTGGCCCAGCGCTGAGCAGGCAGTGAGATGAGAACAAGGGGCTACCATGAGATGCATGAAGAGGAGGCCACCAGATGTCTAGAGGCAACTCCTGCTTATTCCTTTAAATTCCTTATGAATAGCTGCCAAAAAATAAAATACTTGGAAATAAATCTTACCAGGGACACAAAAGACCTCTACAAACAAAACTATAAAAAACTACTTCAAGAAACCATAAGAAATCTACATAAATGGAAGAATATCCCATGCTCATGAATAGGAAGATTAAACATTGTGAAAATGTCAGTTCTACCCAAAGCAATCTATACATTCAATGCAATCCCAATCCAGATCCCATCAACATTCTTTAAGGATATGGAAAAAACAATCACTAACTTTATATGGAAAGGAAAGAGACCTCAGATAAGCAAAGCACTATTGAAGAAGAACAACAAAGTAGGAGGTCTCACACTGCCGGATCTCAAAACCTACTATACAGCCACAGTAGTCAAAACTGCCTGGTATTGGTTTAATGACAGACACATAGACCAATGGAATAGAATTGAGAACCCAGAAATAGATCCATTGACCTGTGGTCAGCTGATCTTTGACAAATGACCAAAATCCATTGAATGGGGAAGCAAATATTTGTTTAATAAATGGTGCTGGCAAAACTGGATATCCATTTGCAGAAAAATGAAACCAGATCTGTACCTTACACCATACGCAAAAACGAACTCCAGATGGATCAAAGACTTAAATGTGAAACCTAAAACTATAGAATTCCTCAAGGAAAACTAGGGGCAAATTTAGGGGTCCTAATATATGGCAAGGGGCTCTGGTAGCGCAGTGCCTAAGGCACTTGACTGCTAACCAGAAGGCTGGTGGTTCAAACCCACCAGCCACTCCTCGGAAGGAAGATGGGGAAATCTACTTCTGTAGTGATACTGCCTCGGGAACCCAAGGAGGGGTCTCTATGAGTTGGGTCTGACTTGACGGCATATAACAACAACAATAAATATATGGTATAAATAGACTATCAACCATAACCCAAAATGCACAAACAGCAGAAGAGAAACCAGATGATTGGGACCTTCCAAAAATCAAATTTTTATGTGCTTCCAAAGACTTCTCCCAAAGAGTCAAAAGAGAACCTACAGATTGGGAAAAAAATATTTGGCAATGGCATATCTGACAAGGGACTTATCTCTAGAATTTATAGAAAACTCCAACACCTCAATAACAAAAAGACAAACAATCCAATTAAAAAAATGGGCAGAACACGTGAATAGACACTTCACCAAGGATATTCAGGCGGCCAACAAATATATGAAGAAATGCTCACGATCATTAGCTATTAGAGAGATGCAAATTAAAACAACGAGATACCATCTTGCTCCAGCACTAGTAGCAAAGTTCAACGAGACAAAAAATAACAAATGCTGGCAAAGATGTGGAGAGATTGGGACTCTCATACACTGCTGGTGGGACTGTAAATGTTACAACCACTGTGGAAAGCAGTATGGCAATTCCTTCAAAAGTTGGAATTAGAAATACCTTTTGACCCAGCCATTCCTTTACTAGGTATATATCCTAAAGAAGTGAGAGCCATAACAAAAACAGACATATGCACACCCATGTTCATCACAGCACTATTTACAATAGCCAAAAGATGGAAACAACCTAGGTGTCCATCAACTGAGGAATGGATAACCAAACTATGGT